TGTGTGTGTGTGTGTGTGTGTGTGTGTGTGTGTGTGTGTTGGCGCCGTTGTTGTTGGGTGTATTCAAGGACATGACTCTCTCACCTCCAGGGCTTCTGTGTCTGGACTGGAGCAGAAAAGGTTCTTCAGTGCAATACCCGAATGATCATGTGGGCCTGAAACAGAGAGAGGAACCAGGGTTAGGTGCCTTTTAGGTATGCAGCTCATAGCACCTCTCCCATCAAAATGGCATTCCAACATGTGAAAGAAAACAAGTGTGTTGCTCCAGATGTCTTCATTTTCACTTTGCTCCTATACCCTGTGTCTGGTTTGTAATCCTATATTTTAAGTGTTCAATGGACTGGAAGGCTATGTGTGTGAGTACTGTAACCAAACTGCCTATGTAAACTGCTTTGTAACCCTCTTCCACTCATCTGAAACATGATCAGGTTTTTTGCCAAGCTTGTACACGAATGAGGATTTTGTCTTGGTGGCACGGTGCAAAAGGAAAGCGGTATAGAAATATAATATAGAATATATGGTATTTATAGCATATGTAATAAACACATCTCCTTATAAATAATAATTCAGATACAACAGGAGTATGTACTAACTGCCTACGTGTATTCCTACAGGAATTAATCAATGTCAAGTTTTGTGCAGAAATGGGAACTAGCAGGCATATGCCATCCAGCTTTTAGCCTTAACAAAATCCAACATCTAAAATGAAATCACACCAGCACTGACACAGCACAAAAACAAAGAGTGGACAAAGAGGTACAAAAGCGCCTGTTGTGGCTACTGACTCTTGATATTCTAAGCCAGGTTTGTTAAGACACTGTACAAATCCTGCATTCTGTTAGTTAACTTATCGGTTTTGTCATTTAACAGTGGCCACAAAGCAAAAACCGCCATTTGAAACTGTGAGATAGAAAAATGAGTACACTGTGTTGACACCTTGTGGCGAAGCAGACAAACAGTTAGAGATGAAGACAGCTGCAAGAGCTTATTAATCATGTGAGGACCAGAGACTGAGTGCCGTTATTAGCATTTTGTGAGTTTAGAGACAAAGACAGAATCGCTCACGTTTCTTCCAGAGATATAACATTTTTCTATTCTTGATTCTTTTGGATTTCCCGTTTTTTGCGTGTGTTTGTGTACGCAAGTGCAGTTCTTACTGGTGGGAAGCTCGGTGGGTCGCTCCACCACAGAGGGTCTTTTCAGAGCGGGTTTGAGGGGCTTATGAGGTACTGGACGAGTGGGACTGAAGGACGACTCCTCAGTTGAGATCTGTGCGTAC